AAAAAAAAAAAAAAAAAAAAAAAAACAAAGTTGAATCCATTAGAAAAAAAAAAAGGCTAATAAAAAAGGCATGGATAAATTAATCTCTATAATAACAGTAGTATCCATGACCTAGCCTATCCTGATCATCAGCCTTTAGCTGGTGTTATAGTCATAATATTCTATACCAGTGTTGTCCAACTTCCAGGCAGCTAGGGACTGCACACCCCACCCACCAAATGGGTTGCCCAGTGTGTAGCCCCTGTCACATGCACAGCATGGGCAGCCTTTCTACACCCTCTGCCAGGCAAGCATGCTGTGTGGGCATCCTTCCATAGCATAGGCAGCATGGCTTTCTCTCCTGCAGCTGTGCATACTACCCACTTGCAGTGCAGGTAGCATGGCTCTGGTCTTTGCCACATGCACAGCTCTGATACTCAAACCCCCTCCTGGCCAGCAGGGCAAGAGCAACTGGGGTGTGCAGTGGCAGCTGGGTGGGAGCCCATGGGCCACATACTGACCCTTTGGGGGCTGCACGTGGCCCATGGGCTGCCAGTTGGACAGCTCTGTTCTATGCCATAATATAAACGGAGCAGGGTTGGAGTATGGTAGCAGTGGTGGTCCAGGAAATATTCAAGAAGGAATCGGAGCGATCAGGAGCATATTCTTGCATACAGTTCTGGCTCAGGGGAGATCTTTGCATTAATCCTGTCCCTAATAGTCATTTGAATTGCTTTTACACCCTGAAAATTGACTTTGTAAAAACAGCAGCACCTTTAAACAAATTTGCTGCCAGTATATATTTAAAATTACATTTCTTCTCTTCGGTGACAGAAAGAAGCCTTTACTATGTTTACCTGTGCAAAGCATCAACAGAAATATTTATTAACTTCAGTATGAGAAGCAAGGTTGTTTTTGGTGATTATCTTTTATTGGACCAAGTGTGTATTTGGAAAGAGGGCACTTTGGCCACATTCAGATCTGTCTGGGCGTTTGGTTTCCTGGGGACAAGTAGCAGTGGTGCACCTTGTGGTGCTGCTAGTTGTCCCTGGGGAATGCCCATGCCACATGCGCTCTGGTATGTGGCAAGTTAACCTGGGTGGGGTAGGGGTGCACTGGGTTGGCCCTAGCAGCCTTACCTGGGGTGCTGGGGGCCTCCTGGGGCTGCAGCCATGATGATCCTGCTACACGGAGCATGGCTGGCAGTGGACTGTGGCTCCAGCTAGCTAGCCAGGCTCCAGCTTTGGGCAGGGCACGCTGTGTCCATGTTCACTGCTTTGCTTTTTTTTGCTTTATGGGGGTAAAAAAAACCCTTTGTGCTGCTCCCTTGCAGTGCTGAAAACAACTGAACATGTGGTATGTGGTGCTGCAGACACGTCTGCAGTGCCCCGTACCTCATGGCCACACTCCTCGTGATGTGGCCTTTGTGTCCCAAAGCTTGCCTAACGTTTGTCCCACTATCTAGTTGGTCGAGGAAAAATATCACCAAATGATCTTGCCTGGGTATTTCCTTCACCATCACATCTACAACAACACTTCAGTCTGGTTAAGTTCTAGTCATTTACATCTGTGAAGTCCTGTTGAAGGCATCCATGTCCTCAGGGCACTTTTAGATTGTAGGATTTGGCCTGCAAACCTACAAGTTTGCTTACAGGTTAGCACCTGTTAGCTAGTGTGTGGAGTAGAAAAAGTCTCCGTTTAACTTTTAGGAAGGATAACTTTTAACTTGAAGGATAACACTGTTGGGCTGAAGGTTAAATTAAAATGTTTCTGTTTTCAAACTGCACTTGTTTGTTTGGGGAGTCTTTGAAACAAGCACAGGACCCCTACTATATTGTATTTAGTATCCTTTTTTCGAGCAGAACTGTACTTTCAGTTGCATACTGAGTTAACAGGCACTTATGGAGGGCAACATCCAGTCTTCCATCAACTTGCAGTTTGAGTAGTTTTCTTAACTGAAAGTTCTCTTTATAATGACCAGTTTACACTGTTTATGGTCAGAAAAGTACTGTGCTTTAATTATTTTATGATGGTACTGCTTAATAGCTTCATTATTATGTAGAGCTCTGTCTGTACATGATATTTTGTTTTATTTACAGCTTAAATAGATAAAACAGGATATGGTGTAAGAAAAGAAGAATTACCATCATTATTTTATGCACATGAAATACATTTAGAAAACCCCCCAAATGTGATCTAAATAGATTAAAAAACCCCTCAAAATGTGATCTAGTCACTTGCCAAAGTCAAAGCTTTGACAGCTCTAAGAATTTTCCCAACGTGATCTGACCATCTTTTTGTTTACTTAACAGAACTGGTCCTTGTATATTTTCAGAGTCCTGTTTTCTAGTATGCCAAATTCATTTGACTCCTATTTACATAGTGCAGAGTGCTGCTATATGACATGGGCTATATGAATGGGGTTTTTTTGGCTTGTGCACCAACAACATTTGCAGTTTCAGATGACTTTCTTTCTTATTAGTGATGATATGCAAGTCAGAAAAAGTAGAGCTTGACTTTCAGATCTCAGGATGAATTAGCAGGGCCTCTAAGAGAAATCGTTCTACTTGCACACTTACTGGTTTATATATGGGGAGATGAAACAGAATGAGACAAATGTTGTCATTTTTAGCCATTGTTCAAAATAAAATAAAAGTATACCTTTGAAGTACAATCTCAATGTGAGGTTTATATTATGATACGTTTTTACAGGAGCATCTAAAAATATTTCCTTGTTTAGAAGAAAAAAAAAAAAATAGTCCTTCAGAGTCATTGCAATTTGACCTGAACATGTAATGTTTTATTTTTCGGTAAAAAGCACTGTAACATATGGGTGACTTTAATATACTCAAAGCTACATAAACACTCAGATTACCTATATTTTAATGGATTGTAATATTAACTGCATTGAAGCAGTTGTGCCGAGTCTTGTTTTTAATGAAAATATAAGCAATACATATTTGGCTCTTTCTGTGAAATTGTTCATTTAGTTCTTGTAGCATCTTCATTTGCCAATGACACTCTCCTCATAATGCCACAGATTTAACTAAACACCCTTCACTGTGCCCTGCAGGCTGTAGGAATCCAGTATCTCCTACTCTATGTGCACAATGAACTCCACAGACACACAAAGCCCTTTGAGAACACCCTGCTTTAAGGCCCATCTGTAGTTCTTTCACTACACAAGTTACTGTTTACAGATTTTTATTTCAGATGTTTTGCTGAAACTGGTTTTAAAGGTTGACAGTTTAACTAGTTAGTCAAAAAAGGCCTGTTTACAGAGTGGACATTAAAAAGCCTTCACATTTTTACTTTGGGGTTTGTAATAGATGTACTATTATTCATTTCCAGGGCGAAGTTAAAAATGTTGTTTGCGTATGGAATATAAAAGGACTTTGATTATCTTAAATATTTAACTTGAACTTCCTTGAAAATTAGATGCATTAGTGAATCTCTGAAGGAACAATAAATTTAATTTTCTGCAGAACACTATGATTTTATTTAGTCTGTTTATAATTTATTACATCTGGGTTGAAAATGGAAATAATTAAAATGTTAAATTTATGCATTTGGTAATTATTGCTAAACCTGCTGGATAAATGTGTATAAAAAGTGTGAAATTGGCAGCATGCAGAAGTAATGCATAAGGTCCTGTGTCATTTCTCTATGCTGTTTGTTTATAGGTTTCAGATTATCTTGAAGTTATCAAAGAGCCAATGGACCTTTCTACAGTAATAACCAAAATTGATAAACACAACTATCTAACAGCCAAGGATTTCCTAACAGACATTGATCTCATCTGTAGTAATGCATTAGAGTATAATCCAGACAAAGACCCTGGAGGTAAGGAAATACCTAACTTTGACATGCCTAAATATGAAAGCCTGGTTGTTTAGTAAAATTAATGCTTATTATTTTGGCATCTAAATAAACTGCATAAAATAAAAGTTGGCTAGACAGGTGCTTTTCTGAAAAGTGTATGCTTTTAATCTCCTAAGAGACTCTTGAATGGAAAGTAAACATTTAAATGAAAATTAACTAGGTGATAAAGTAAGTGTTCAGGACTTTTATAAGAACAGAAGAGCTGAAGTACTTGATGTTAATTTCAGATAATTGCATTCTAAACCTGAGTAGGTTATAAGTGGAAATGAATGGAATAGATACTGTTTGATTCATGGCGAATCTCTGTCCACATAACAAAAACATCTCTTAACTCAATGGTGTTGTGGAGAATCTTTTACAGTACCTGGCATTGCTAATGTGTTAATGTTTTTGCCTCCGGAGGACCAAATTTATCCACAAAATTAATAAGTCTCCATTTTAGTGTGGAGGGTGAAGAGGCAACGAATAAAATTAATCTTGAACAATTTGATCCGTTCCAGTTGATTAGGAAAAATTTGGTTTGCATCTATACCTATTTATATATCTATATCATCTTTATCTATATTTGTATCTAAGGGTAGGTTATTATGTGATATTCACTGGATTTAAAATAATAACACCAGGTGACATTAACCTGAAAGCTGTTCACCTGCAGATCTAGTGTATGGCATCCTCTTTACTGGTTGAGGCTGGATTATTGTGTGCTTGGAAGAAGGATGCTTCCAAATTAAAGCATTTGATTTGAAAGCTTCCAAAAGTGCTGGTTATGTGTTAAAGTAAAGAAAGAAATATCCCCTTTATATATTTGTCCTGAATGTGTGATTCATGGAAAACTGATCCCATCTGCATATGAAGGACTGTGAATTAAAACTACTTTCATTAAAGCAAAAAACCTTTCTTTGGAAGGTCCAGTTGTGATTTAATTTAATTTACCACATTTTTCTTTTACCATATGTGTTTCTGAAATGGTTATACAGCTTTTTAATCAACAGTTTTCTTTAGACATCATAAGAATTTATTCCTGCCCTAGATTTTAAACTACTAGTTTAAGACAGGTGAGATCAAGTTTTTTTTAATTTACAAATATCAAAAATATCTTTTATACAAATGAAATCCATGCATCTCCCTACCCGATGGGGTGTTTTTTCTTCTGTACGCTAAATTCTTTCCAGTAGTATTTCCCCCTGTGTTTCTGGCAGTTTTTTCTGTGCTACAGACAGTTTTTGGAGCACTGGTCCATTTGAAGGCTGATTTTCAATTACTGTGTTCTTAGCCACTGTGATTCCAGTCAGCAAATTGTTGCAAGTGTTTCAGGATGACTCTGGTAAAAGCCTTGCCTGTGATGCTCAGGAGAGAGAAGTGCCTATAGCTCTTGCAGTCACCCTTGTCTCCCTTATTCTTGTAGTGAGTGATGATGTTAGCATCACACATGTCCTAAGGTACTTGACCTTCCTTCCAACAGCACACTAGGAGTTGATGAAGATGTGGTAGCAGGCTAGCCTTCCCACACTTAAGAACCTCAGCTGGGATGCCATCCTCCTCTGGTGCTTTTCCGCTTGCTAGAGAGTCTGTGGCTTCGAGTTCTTCGGCTATAGGTTCTTTGTCTAGCTGTGCCAATACACTTAGAGTTGAAAGTTGATTTAGCACGTCTTAAATACTGTTTCATGGGAATAAAGCTTTAAGTAACGTTCAACCCAGTGTGATATCTTGTTCTTGTCAGTGATTTTTACTTTGCCATCTCGAGACTTGAGGAGGTCAACTTTAGTGACAGTTGGGCCAAGAGCTTTCTTCAGGCCGTCATCTAACTCACAGGTTTCCTGTGTCTGAGGCAAACTATCTCTTCACATAGGTCAGTCCAATATTGGTTTGTGCAGCATCTGCCTGTTTTCTGTACCATTGCCCTGGCATGCTTCAGCATAGCCTTGGAACTTTCTGTTGGATTCCGGCTGTGCTTCAGGTAGGCTGTGTTCTTGGCTTCAACAAGTGGTAGCACCTCTTTTGAGTGTGCCTCAAGCCAGTCTTTGACTATTTTTTTTCCCCCAAATACTTCTGTGGCTGTTCCTGGATGACTGCTCTTAGTCCACTCCAAGTTCCTTAAGCATTTGTAGTTGTGGCTTTTGTAGACACAGCTAGTTCAAAGGTCCTTTGAAAATTGAGGCATTTGCTTTGGCCTTTTGTGCTGTGTATGTTAATTCTTGGCTGACTCTTATGCTTGGCTCTGTGCAGCCTCTTTGGTATCACTTTCACTTTGACAGTAAGGGAATGGTCTGTGTCATGATCTGTGTTTTTGATAAGTGCGGGTGTGTAGTACACTAGGCAGGTCTGTCCTCCTGGTGATCACAAGGTCTGATTGATGCCATTGGCCAGATCATGGGTGTTTCCATGATACTTTTAGATGCTCTTTGCCCACAAAGTAGGTGTTGGTGATACACAGGCGGTTTAAGGTGTAGAGTTCAAGAAGGCCATTTCCTGATGCCGTGATGTCCCAGATAAATAGGCACAGATCATGAATCTTGGCCAACTCGAGCATTAAAATCCCCTAGGAGGAGAAGCCTCTTGTTTGATGGTAGATGGTCAGTGACTTGATGATATCTCAACAACAGTATGGATTCAGAGCAGGGAGATCAACAGTGGACATGATATTGTCCTTATGGCAGTTGCAAGAAAAATGCAGAGAAAATAAGCCACTGTATGTAGCATTTGTTGACCTGATGAAAGCCTTTGATATCGTCAGCAGAACAGGTTTATTCAAGGTCCTGGTAAAAGATTGGCTGCCCCCCAACATTACTCAGCATGATATGCTCCTTCCATGAAAACATGCAGGCCACTATTCAGTTTGATGGATCAACCTCTCACCAGTTTGGATGAAGAGTGGAGTGAAGTAGGGTTGTGTTCCAGGTGTCCACACTCTTTGGGATTTTCTTTTCTGCTGCTCTATGCTTTCGATGGCTTGGAGAAAGGCATAGACCATCACACAGGATCAGATGACAAACTCTACAATCTATCACATCTAAAGGCCAAGACAAAAGTCACACACATACTTATTAGGGAGCTCCTTTTTGCTGACAATGCTGCACTCACCACCTATGAAGAAGGTTAACTACAAATACCATGAAACTACTCGTGAATCACCTCTCCCATGCTTGCAGGATGTTTGGCCTGACCATCAGCATCAAGACGATGATTGGGGGTTCACCAGTCATCCTCTATCAGTCTTGACAGCACCGCCCTTAAGGTAGTGAACAGGTTCTGCTACCTTGGATCCATAGTGAGCGACAGCTTATCACTGGATGAAGAACTAAATGTGTGCATTGGAAAGGCAACTACTGCTTTCAGTAAGTTGTCCATATGAGTCTAGAACAATACAGTACTCATCAAAACTAAGCGGCTTGTGTACAAAGCCTGCTCCCTCAGTGTCCTTAAGTATAAGTGAGACATGGTCATCATATGCATATCAAGAAAAGAAGCTGAATAGCTTCCACCTATGCTGTCTATGGCACATCCTTGACATCAAACGGTAAGACAGAATCACCAATACAGTGGTCATTGCCAAAGCCAGCCTACCAGCTATCACTGTACTACTGGAACAGTGATACTTATGCTGGCTTGTCATTCTTCACAGGATGGAAGATGGGTACATCCTGAAGGACATCCTGTATGGGCAAATTGCAGATAGAGAGAAAAGAGTAGATCGGGTACTTCAAAGACGTCTGCAAGCAGGATATGAAGGCTCTTGGAATCGACCCAAACCTTTTGGAGGCCTTAGCAGGAGACAGGACAAATTGGTGCTCCCTTATCAATCATGATGAAAAACAGTCACTTGAATTACAATAGAATAGTGACCAAATGAAACTGGGTGTAAGAGACTGCCCTACCCAGTGCCATATTTTGTGTTATCTGTGCCCTATGTGGGGTGCCCTTGGAGTCTCCCTAAGGTTTTTTGTGTTCCGCTTTACTCGTCTGCCACGTCTTGAAGGAAATATTATACTGATGTTCTTGTAAGCGGGAGAATGCCTATTGTTTTCTGTATGTTGGGGTCCTCTGCCACCACTGGCCTTGACCCCAGTCTTTCTCTAGCTAGGCCTCCCTGTCTAAACCCACCAGATAGGGTTTGACTCCGAGGCTCTAGTTCTTTGGTCTTGGGACTTGTGGCCCTCCTTTTCGCTCCAGTCTGAAGCCCAGCCTCCCTAGCCCAGAGGCCCATCCACCAGCCCCACAGCCACGGGGTCACGAGTTTGAAGCCAGGCAACAGCCGCAAAACTCCACTGTCTCAGTCCAAAAAAAACCTCAGTCACACCCCAGGTGTACCAGGCCACCCTGGCTTTTTAGGATTGCCTTCTCTGTTGCTGGGCTTGTGCACACTGAATACTGTGCCCGCACTGGCTCCGGAGTCGCCATGTTATAGTGGGGCTCCAGTGTGGCCGCCTCCTTCACCAATAGCCTTACGCAAACCACCAGTGTTATTCAATAATAAAAAAATATAAGGAGTCTGTCCATTGGCTGTAACCGCCACCAAAAAAAATATGATTTTGTTTACTCAGGGGGTCCCCACCGTCAGCTACAGTCCTTCTGGGGTTGTTGCCACTTCTCCAGGGTCCTCAGTAGTTCCCCTTCTCCAGCCTTTGGACTGCTTACCAAGCTTCTCCATGGAGCTCTTATTACTCACTCCTTCCCCTTTGGCTGCTGGCCTTACTGCTGCCCAGCCCAAGGTTTTTATAGTTCTGGCCTGCCCCCTTC